CCAAGAATATCAAAAGCTTCCTGTGTTTTTGTTGTTGTTGTTTGTTAATATTTGGCTGCAGGAGTGTGATGGGAAAGCCCAGAGGGCTGGTTAGTGAACTGTAACTGGCGAGCTAACTGCTGACACTTTTAAAGAAAACCGTTTCTTCAGCACTTTCCCTGCTCTTTAATAAAAGTCTTTAATTATTGAAATGAAGTACAGACCTGAGAGTTGGATCCTTGTGGGACAAAACTGGCACTAAAGTAGAAACTGAAAGCTCCAGTAAACTTCTACGGTCCGTGCCGACTGGCCTGGTCTAAAGCCAGGTCTCCTCTGAAGCCATTCAGTCTGTTGTTTCTAGGCACATTTGACTAATCAGCTTTTCATGATTAGTCTAATTTAGTTACAAATTAATTGAGGCTCTTACAGTCAGTTAGCTTAAATCTGAACCATTTGGATTTGTTGCTTTGGATGGTGCTTTAAGATGACTCGTGGTACTTTATAAGTACACTGAATGAAATCTACAATCACTCATTCTATAGTTTTCGTCATTATTACTCAATGTTACTATTTACATCAAATCAGTTGTTGTCAAATGTTTTTATTATTTCTGAAGCCATACTGGTCATCTGTCATAATCTAAGGTTAGTCTGATACTTATTTACTGCTTCAGAGGTTCTATGTTTTTCTCTTTAGAAGATTTCAAGTTGTTGTTTGTTTTTGTTGTTGTACATCCTAAATTGGTTTGATTCATGTAGTAATCTATTGCTGGACATTGTTTTATAATGTTTTAAATGCCTTTTAAAATATTTCATATGCTATGTTTTCTTTTATGATTTTCCATTTCATTAGCCCCACCCAGGCCTGATTACTTCTATCAGAACCTTCCTGACTATACGATGTCAGCTAAAAGATGCCAAAAAACAACACACCCTACCCCATTCTCAAGAAACCGATCAACAAAAGAACCAAGAAAACACACATGGTTAAGATGGTTAATGAGTTTTGAATTCATTGTAAATAATAGTAATTTTGATCCCTAAGACTTGTGGGAAATGTTTTTGGGCAGAAAACTGGATCTCTTAAGAAGGCATGTCTCCCATTACCTCTGGACTACAGATGACACTCGTGTGTAAATGCACATCTAGATCGAACTAAAGCAGCGGTTCCTACCACATTATCTTAACCTCGCCTGTCAGACTCCTCCTCTGTTTAATTCTGCACAGAGAAAGGGTCTGGGAACTCTCCTACTCAAATAACCCCACCTCGTGAGAATTCTAACTGAGCCAATCAGCGCTGAGCAGCGTACCTCACACACCAAAACGCCGAGTTTGTCAAACATGGTGACGGAAGCGTAGTTCGCTGCGGCTCTTTCCTCTGTTCTAAATGACTTGGACACGTCTTTAAAACAACAAGTATAAGCGCAAAAATCTTTTGTTCTAAAAAAATAAATGATGTTTGCGCTGTCGCCAGACGCCTTTTTTTTACTACAGCTAAGAAACTACAGCGTCGCTTGGTACAGTCGGTATTTCCGTCTTTTTTCTGATTGGTTATTTTTGAGCTGCTAGTCCCTCCCCTCATGTGCCACTCTGCCTGTGAGAAACCAGACCCTTTCTTTGCAGAATTATGGGCCATTCCCATCTGTACCGGGTCGGCCCGGGCCGGGTAGCCCCAGTCGGCCCCAGCCTGGCCCGGTTGATTCCACACATCCTTGCCTTAAGCCCATGTGGGCTGATTCTACCCACCAATCAGAGGCTTGCTCTGATGGAAGGTGTGAATTTGCTGTCAGCAGTGGGTGTGTTGGCCCTGGTCGGCCTGAAGCAGACCCCCTCGAGAAGAGGGCTGAGAATGAGCCTTGGTTGGCCAGGAAAAATACCAGGCCACCCAGATATGTAAACAACCTACGCTACCCGGCCCGGGCCTTAAACAGTGGACGAGTGCCCTGGGGCGCACTGACAGAGGCGAGGCTGCCGATCACTGGCGCCACCGGTCCCTCCGACCACCACCAGCAGGCAAGGTGGGTTAAGTGTCTTGCCCAAGGACACAACAACAGCGACAAACTAAGCGGGGCTCGAACCTTCAACCTTCCGATTCTGGGACGAGCACTTAACTCCTGTGCCACCGTTGCCCACATTAGAACCAGTTCACCCTCAGCATGAATGCATTTACATGCGTTTAAAAAAACTGCATCAGTCTATTTATGGCAAATGTCCAGTTTTATGATGCACATGTAAACACACTTAAGGCTGTTATTGAAAATAACATCATGCCACGGTGGTGGTTGTGTGATGGCCTGGGTCTAAAACAGGCAGATTAATTCTGGAAAACCTGCCAACAAAGGACACATTTTCCGACTCACTTCCAGTTATCACAAATGGGCTAATACATTTGTAGGATTAGGCTGTAGCTCATTAAAACATATTTAAAAAATTTGCTTTGAAACAACATTTTTCTGTTTAAATCAGAGTATATCTATGAAACATGAACCGGCTTTGACAAACTCTGAAAATAGGCAAGACATTTCAAGGTGCTAACGTTTAAAAAAACAACTTGTTGGAAACTTCATTACACAGGACCAGTCTGGGCTTGGTCAGGACTCTTTTTTTTATTTTTTGTTTATTTATTTTTGTGTGTGTGTGTGTGTGTGAAACAAAATCAAACTTGACCTCAGCTGTTTACCTGAGGAAACCAGAGGGCACATTTTAAAAATCAGTTGTTGAGATCAAACTGCAGTCTGCTGCTGATTACTTCTATAACACACACACACACACACACACACACACACACACACACACACACACACACACACACACACACACACACACACACACACACACACACACACACACACACACACACACACACCTTTAGCTGTATGATGTTCTTTGGTAATACAAAAAGGCCCTGCCAGTAGAATACTGTTGTGTGTGTGTGTGTGTGTGTGTGTGTGTGTGTGGGCAGAAACAGATTGTTGAGGGGGAGACGGGCAGGAGGAGAGCCCAACTAACGAAGGTTGCAGAGAAAAAGAAGAAATGAGGGATTGTTGAGGAAGTCTCCGTGGATTTACAGAATCCCTTCAGTCTCGTTTCAGGACAAAGTCACGCTGACACACTTGCTGCCTGATGAGCTTTTTTCTCTTTCTCTCAACTCTGGCGCTTGCTGCTTCCAACCTAACACAGAGCTTTTACCAGCAAGCGGCTGCTCACTTTCGTTTGTGCACACACATATTCTTGGACATGTGCCATTTTGTGAAGATACCTGCAGTGTAATGTGGGAAGAGTAGGTCCTTCCTGGATTTGTTCCAACAAATTTCCATGCAAACACAATATTGTACACTGCATCTGCTGAAATGTACCCACAAAACAACCTACTAGAGGCCGTTTCTTTCTTCTTTTTCTGGGTTAAATCTGGTTGCATACATGTTAAAAAGGAGAAGCTTCTAATTGTGTTCCAGCATCTGAACAAAGAATTAAAATTCCATTGTTGTATTTATGATATTTGCACACAAATGCTACCAACAACCCACCTAATAAGAAGCAAAAAAGCATTGATTTCCAAAATTTCCCTAATCTTTCACGCCATGCTTATGTGTGTTTTTCTTTCATCGTACTCAAAAGATTCTGGGGAGTCTGTTCTGGTCGAGAAAAGGAAAGAAACATTCATGCATCTCCACGACAGAAGAGAAAAACGATTTTTTTTCTTGAAACTTTTCCAGCAAACAACTCAGATGTTTGCTTGATTTTGGCAAAACATTTGGATGTCAGTAGTCCAAAACAGGATTTCAAATGATAAAAACATATTTAAGCAACAGAAAAACGTGTTTGCATCAATCTTAATTTTGCTTTGTTGATTGATAATGTTGGTGTGCCCCAGGGTTTTATATTTGGACCCTTTTTATTGAAGTTTAAGCTGTTTCATAGATAACCCATGACAATCTTGCACTTAATATAACTTTAGATGCACTCTGATATAGTTATGATAGTTATTTTTTTTTATCTGTGCACAAAGAGACAAATCACAAACTACAGAAGAACCATTAGCTTTAACCCAGACCCTGAAAAAGCAGTAGCACGATAGAAGACAATCAATTGTACTGCACTATAAATCGACTCAACAACTCAAAACAGATTACATCTCTTTATTGTAATCTGATACTATGGATCATATAAAGAATATCCCCCAAACAACTAACTTGCTCAGGCTGGCTGCACCGTATTGAGTTTCTGCGCTCTGTAACAGTGTAAGACACTAAATGATGAATGAACGCTTGGCTTAATGTTTGCCCGTGTTGTTCTCAACTCTAGTGAGAAAGGCAAGAACAGGTTTCCCCACAATCAGCTTCGCAAAAAACTAACTTCTACAACAAAACCATGAAACTGCATGTTTGTTGGACCCTTTACTCAAAAACCTATTAGGAACCTGAGACATCACTTAAAGCGTGCAAAATGTATCCAATGCAGATTTAATTAAATCTCATTAAAACTTTATCAGGGTTTTTTTTTAAAGAAAAGAAGTCATTTAATTAAAAAGCATGCATAAATCTGACTAGGTCCTAGAGATCAGTATGTCTACTCCTAACAAACAGCTCAAAGAAATAAGAAGTGAAACTCATTTAGTGGTCATCTTTTTGAACTGCTTTGCTCAAGCACAAGCAGAGCAGATGTGAAGATTTCCCCTGCAGCAAGAAGAGCTGAACTTGTTCTCACATCTTCTGCAACTGAGGAGAAATAACTAGCTCCTTTCACTTTGATGGAGAAACACACACACTTACTGGCACCATGTCCGGCAGCTCATTTTTTGTACATTTCACTCGACTCCATCATCGTTTGCTCCAAAGTTCTGCTCCAAAACTGTCTCCTTCACTTTCTGTTTTCTTTAACTTTGCTCATTTTGCAGTTAGAAGTGCTGCCTTTGCATCGGATGGAAATCAAGTTATTTTCACACCCAATCATTCTTGCCAAGATTTACATCATCACCTATGCTGTCATGAAGACTTCCTCCTTCCTCCAAGTCTCACTTACCTGTGCAATCTCGTAGAGCAGTTTGTAATGTTCCTCCCGTTTCTGCAAGGTGCACAAATTACAGCCCATTCTAGTTGTCAGGGAAACAGTGCCGAGTGCCCGCTGGAGTGTGTGCGCTGTCTGCTGTGTGTGAGCTCCCCCCAGGGCAATGCACACTCAGGCTCCTCTTCCTTGGATCCCCTACTCTTCTTTCTCATCCGTGTATCCTCAGAGATCCCGCTCTGTTGCTGAGCGCACACACACCCAGGCACAAAAACACACTGACACACTCCGGTGTTTCACTATATTTTGTTGTGAAGTGTGTTTGTGGTGAGTGTGTAAGTCAGTAATCGTTCAGCAGCATGCACCTGGCTCCCCTCTCTACCTTCCCTGTCACTCCTCCTGACTCCCACTTGCATGCCTACATCCACTCTTCACTCCTCCACCTCCTCTCTCAGTGTGAGCACATTCTCGCTCGTGCACACTCTCTTGGCTCACAGAGACACACCTCCTCCTGTGGCAGGCTGTCTGCACATGCCTGCTCCCACTTCAGCTCATGAATAGACAGCATCCTCATTGGCTGTTTAGGGGAATGAGGGCCAGGGTGGTGGTGGAGGGAGTGAAGGGCTCACTTCAGTGACTAAACGCTGGTGTTGTGTGTAAGTTAGGTTAAGGACATCCTGCTGGTGTCAGTGTGCACATATTCAGAAAAATATCCCAATTTATAAATGTAAAATATCTACGAGCAGCTAAAGCTCCCTCCCTACAGTTAATCAAGTTAGTGAGAGGGCTATTTGTCAGAGCGCACGGTTAACTAATGGATTTGGCATGGAAATCAATCTCATTTGGATTCAGTCAGATAGCCTTTCGCACTCAGCACCACGTTTCCAGGAGTGGTGTTTAGTGGCTGTCATAGATTTACAGTCAACGTGCGATACTTCTCCAATGCACGCTTCCTCTCCGTGCATGCAGTTAGACAAGGGCACCGGACGGAGCTCACACACAGGAAGAATCCCAGACGGCTATGGATTGATTCAAATTAGCTTCCAGTCCCACTCAGTGCATTTCTTCAGGAGGACAGGATGAAAAGAGGAGGAAGAAACATGTGAAGATAAATTAAAAGTGCAGAGATGGTGAAAATTACATCATTCAACATAAATCATGCTTTCTTTTTATTTATTTTTTTTATCCCATAGGAAGTTTGTTACTACTAGAGTTTAGACTTTGTTGATGAACCTTTTAAACCAGAATCAGGGAATTAAAGTCAAAGTTTTTGGAAGCAACAAGCTGGGGGAAAAAAAAAAACATTTTCTACATTTTTAAATGACTATGTTTTCTGCAATTTGGACTCCAACCAGTTCCAAAGATTTCTCACATTTCTCTTTTTCAGACTTGCAGAAACCAAAAATAAGAAGTAATTTTGAATATTTCCTGTTGCAAGTTGCAACTCTGACAATTCAAAGAAGAAATTTGTCTCAGAAGCTATTATAAGAGGTTCAAAATACATTTAAAATAAAACAATTCCATCAATGACATTCCATACAAATGCATAGGGCCTTGGGGATGAGCACAATGAATGGCACCAGGAAGGGGGACCTGTTCACTCAGCCTCGCCTCAGGTGCTGGTGCCCACTTCCAATTATAAGCTGCATCTAAACACAGCGTTTTGGTAGGAATATTGGGTTATGAGTTGGAAGATGTCTGCACTGATTTGTAAATTTGTAAATCACCAACTCCATCTTGAACCGTCACCTTATCTTGGTGGAGGAGTTTGAGTGCCCTAATGATCCTAGGAGCTATGTTGTGTGGGGCACTTTGTGCCCCTGGTAGGGTCTCCCATGACAAATGAGTCTTAGGTGAAGGGTGAGACAAAGAACGGTTCAGAGGATCTTTCATGGATGTAAAAACAAAGAAATGGAGTACCCGGCCCAAAGGGTTACCGGGGTCCCACCCTAGAGCCAGGCCTGGGGTTGGGGCCTGTGAGCGAGCGCCTGGTGGCTGGGCCTTCGCCCATGGGGCCCGGATACATGGGCTCAGCCAACTGTGGACCCACCACCCGCAGGAGGAACATGAAGGGTCTGGTGCAGTGTGGATCGGGTGGCAGACCGAGGCGGGAGCCTTGGCAGTCCGATCCCCAGACAAGGAAACTGGTTATTGGGACATGGAACGTCAACTCGCTGGCAGGGAAGGAGCAGGAACTTGTGGCAGAGGTTGAGCGGTACCAGCTAGATATAGTCGGACTCACCTCAACACATAGCATTGGCTCTGGAACCTAAGTCCTTGAGAGGGGTTGGACATTCTCCTTTGCTGGAGTTACTCCGGGTGAGAGGCGGGGGGCTGGGGTTGGCTTTTTGTTAGCCTCAAGACTCTCTGCCTGTGTGTTGGGGTTTACCCTGGGGGATGAGAGGGTAGCTTCTCTGCACCTTCGGGTCGGGGAACTGGTCCTGACTGTTTGTGCTTATGCGCCAAATATCAGTTCAGAGTACCCACCCTTTTTGGAGTGCCTGGGAAGAGTGCTAGATAGTGCTCCATCAGGGGACTCCATTGTCCTGCTGGGGGACTTCAATGTTCACATGGGCAATGACAACATGACCTGGAGGGGTGTGATTGGTAGGAATGGCCCGCATGATCGGAACTTGAGTGGTGTTTTGATATTGGACTTGTGTGCAAGCTGAGTTTGGCCATAACGAACACATGTTCAAACACAAGGATGCCCATCGGTACACTTGGTACCAGGGCAGCCTAGGTCGCAGGTCCATGATGGACTTTGTAGTTGTATCATCTGACCTGCGGCCGTATGTTTTGGACACCCACGTGAAGAGAGGAGCGGAGCTGTCAACGGATCACCACCTGGTGGTGAGTTGGATCAGATGGCAGGGGAAGATGCCGCACAGACCTGGCAGACCCAAATGCATAGTGAGGGTCTGCTGGGAACGCTTGGCAGAAGAATCTGTCAAGACGGTCTTCAACTCCCCCCTCCGGCAGAACTTTGACCGCATCCCGAGAGCAGTGGGGGACGTTGACTCCGAGTGAGCCTTGTTCCACTCTGCGATTGTTGAGGCGGCTGTTGCTAGCTGTGGTCGCAAGGTGGCCGGTGCCAGTCATGGTGGCAACCCCCGTACCCGCTGGTGGACACCAGAGGTTCGGGAGCCATCAGTTTGAAGGAGGTCTACAGGGCATGTCTGGTCTGTGGGTCTCCGGAGGCAGCAGTCGAACACCGGATAGCCAAGCGGGGTGCAGCCGTGGCAGTTGCCGAGACAAAATCTCGGGCGTGGGAGGAGTTTGGTGAGGACATGGAGAAAGACTATAGATTGGCGCCAAAGAGGTTCTGGCAAACTGTCCGGCGCCTCAGGAGAGGGAGGCAGCAACTCGCGCACACTATTTACAGTGGGGATGGGGAGCTGCTGACGTCAGCTGGGGCTATAGTTGGGCGGTGGAAGGAATACTTTGAGGAGCTCCTCAATCCCACCTACGTGCATTCCAAGGAAGAGCCAGAGCAGGGAGACCTGGGGATGGACTGTCCAATCTCTGGGGCAGAAGTTGCTGAGGTAGTCAAACAACTACACAGCGCCGGAGCCTCGGGGGTGGATGAGATTCATCCTGGGTATCTCAAGGCTATGGATGTCATAGGGCTGTCGTGGTTCACACGTCTCTGCAACATTGCGTGGTCATCGGGGGCAGTTCCTGTGGAGTGGCAGACCAGGGTGGTGGTCCCCATCTTTAAGAAGGGTGACCAGAGGGTGTGTTCCAACTATAGGGGATCACACTCCTCACCCTCCCTGGAAAGGTCTACTCCAAGGTCCTGGAGAGGAGGGTCCCATCAATAGTTGAATCTCAGATTGAGGAGGAGCAATGTGGTTTTTGTCCTGGCCGTGGAACTGTGGACCAGCTCTATACCCTTGCAAGGGTGATGGAGGGGGCATGGGAGTTTTGTCCAACCAATCCATTGTGTATTTGGAGAAGGCTTATGACCGTATCCCCAGAGGCACCCTGTGGGGGACGCTCCAGGAGTATGGGGTGGGTGGCTTTTTGTTAAGGGCCATTCAGTCCCTTTACCAGAGGAGCGTGAGTTTGGCCCGCATAGCCGGTAGTAAGTTGGACCTGTTCCCGGTGAGGGTTGGACTCTGCCAGAGCTGCCCTTTGTCACCGGTTCTGTTCATAACCTTTATGGACAGAATTTCTAGACACAGTCGTGGTGTGGACTGTGTCGAGTTTGGTGGCAGGAGAATCTTGTCTCTGCTTTTTGCGGATGATGTGGTCCTCCTAGCTTCATCCAGCTCTGACCGTCAGCTCTTACTGGGTAGGTTCGCGGCCGAGTGTGAAGCGGCTGGGATGAGGATCAGCACCTCCAAATCTGAGACAATGGTTCTCGACCGGAAAAGGGTGGCTTGCCAACTCCAGGTCGGGAGAGAGGTCCTACCTCAAGTGGAGGAGTTTAAGTATCTTGGGGTCTTGTTCACTAGTGAGGGTAGGAGGGATCGGGAGATTGACAGGCGGATTGGTTCGCCGTCTGCAGTGATGCGGACGCTGATCCGATCTGTCGTGGTGAAGAGGGAGCTGAGCCAGAAAGCCAGGCTTTTGATTTACCGGTCAATCTACGTCCCAACCCTCACCTATGGTCATGTGGTTTGGGTAATGACCGAAAGAATGAGATCGCAAATACAAGCGGCCGAAATGAGTTTCCTCTGTAGGGTGGCTGAGCTCAGCCTTAGAGATAGGGTGGGGAGCTTGAACATTTGGGAAGGACTCGGAGTAGAACCGCTGCTCCTCCGGATCGAAAGGAGTCAGTTGAGGTGGTTTGGGCATCTGGTCAGGATGTCTCCTGGACTTCTCCCTGGGGAGGTGTTTCGGGCATGTCCTGCCGGCAGGAGGCCCACGGGTCGACCCAGGACACGTTGGAGAGGTTACATCTCCAATCTGGTACGAGAACGTCTTGGTGTCCTGCCGGAGGAACTGGTGGAGGTGGCTGGGGAGAGGATGGTCTGGAGCTCTCTAGTTGGGATGCTGCCCCCACGACCCGGACCCGGATAAGTGGAGGAAGACGACGACGATGACTAACTGTTGCAGCACTGAGAGAATGTCTAAATGACAGATTTTGTGGTAGCCAATAAGGAAAGGGCAAATGTGCTTCAGCAGTCATGCAGGTACAACATTATAATGGTAAAGTCAGGCTGGGAGTGGGGGTTCAGAGCATATCCAGACACCTAGATAAAAGTCAGCCTCTTGTCTTGTATCATGATGAGGTCACCGCTCTCCTCACTGACCTCTGCAAATGACTTCTCAGGATGATGTCACCAACTAATCTCAGAGCCCTTTTCCCGTTGAATATTTGCATCACCCATTTGTGTCCTACTCTCTTTAAATCCCAATATTTCACATCAAGATACTCAAACTTCATGATTCTGTTACAATAAATAAACAACTCACTTAACTTTTGTTGG